CATGCTAGAAAAACTCCAGGGCCCAGCGGGGGGCGGGGGAGGGGGGTCAGACTAGATGATCGTGATGGTCCTCTCTGGCCTAGGAATCTATTAATTATTTAAAGTGCATCTAAGAAGGTACAACTAGGAGCAAAGAGATGACATAAGCAATGGAAAATCCAGGCTCTGAATTTTCAGAGTTTCCTGCAAGACCTATTGGACCTATCAGGCCCCCAAGGAAAGTGCTAGATGCCGCATTGTTCAATCCAATTAGAAACAGTAACGGAAAAGCACTTGTGGCTACACTGCAGAGAATGTTCTTGCATGGGCTGGGAAGTGGATGAAATTATCTAACAGATCTTCTCCACTAGTAGTTCCTGATGGTTTTCAGAGGTGCAATGGACACAGCAACTTAATTGCAGGTAAGAAAGTTCAAGATACAGGACTGGAAAAAAAAAACCCCGGAAAGGACAAGGAGTTAAAATTGAGTGTTGCCAGAGTCCAGTGGGCTGGGAAACAAGGGGCAGTCCAATGTTCAAATGCTATTCCATGGCCTCACCATCAAAACGTACACATCCGGGATTCATACATTGCAGAGATTATCCACACGCAACACTGGGTCTCAGGTTTCATAAGCAATACTATTTATCCCAAGCATGAGGGCGGCCCTTACCTAGATGCTAACATCTGTAGGTGACTGCATATAATTCCAGCATTTACTATTCCGGACACAGTGATGCCAATGAAACATGCAACAGGAAGTTACAGGACTCAACTTCCATCAAGGAGAGAAGCCCTATATGTAATTATGGCCTCACACACCATGTGCCTTCATTCCATTTTCCACTGCACAGCCAAGCTGCAGACTATTATTATGAGTTATTTCCTTGCCAAGTGCCTTTCTCCGCCCAGCAGTTTTGGTACTAAAGCCGTTACTAATGTAAGAATATTTATATCTATATAAATGGGGAGAGTTTTTTCACGCTGCTGATGCTCAATTTTTTTTAAGTTACATTGGGGATAGACCAAGCCTGGAAAAGTTACAAGCAACTGAAAGTGACTGAGTTAAAACAAACACAGACCGCTGACCAGACACCACACCTGCTACATGCCAACGGCAGGAAGCGATATTTTGGCTGAAGTCACTGGAACAAACCCCTCCTTTTACAGTGCCCTACAACAGTGACCATCCACAAAGAGTAGGCAAGACCTTGGGATTCCCTCACGCCCTGGTCGGTAAGAGTCACACCTGCAGACTGCTGTTACCGCTGTCTGCCACTGAAAGAAAAGGGCCTGGGTTTTGTTGTTTTCTTTAAGGTCTCCCTGGAACACCCCTCACAGAAAGCTGCAGGGAACTCCAGGGCAGCTGCTATGGAGCCATGAAGGGCAGAGTCTGTCCGGCCTGGAGGACTCCTTAAAAACAACCTAGGAACATTATTACAGAGCATGAATCAGGCTAATGGGCATGAAGCAGCCCTGCGAAGAAAGGCTTTAGGTTCCAGGGTTGGGAATTAGTTCCATCCATTATGCTCAGAATGTGCTGAGAGACTTAGGGACTGAAGATAAATTGCCAACAGAAACTAAGTACAGTACTTTCATTTGGAAAAAAGTTAAATAGCAGCATTTGCTCCATTTTGAAGACTGAAAACAACGCCACTATTGTGACGAAGTGGGACTGTTCTTAATGTTTTCCTCAGTTTCCCCTATGCAGTTCTTAAGTATCTAGGTGGTGGGATAAGGGTGTATGGTTGCTGCAGAGCAAAGGGCCAGTGTACATAAATGCCCGACACTCTGTCTCCTAGCAACTGATGGCCTGGGCCCCTCCTCTGCAAAGGTGCCAACTGAAGGTGTTGGAGACAAAGGGATCAGGTGACCTCCTGGCCTGGGAAAGAGACAAAGCCCAGAGAAGGAGGGGCTGGACGGGAGTTTGAAGCTAGCTGGGGACTGGAAGGGAGGGCAGACGGGGGTCTGCCTCGCTAGGCCCCAGAATGGACCCGGCGGAGGGGTCCCGTTCGCTGGACCTACAAGCTCTGTTTTAGACCATGTTCCTGTCGTCTAATAAACCTCTGTTTTACTGGCTGGCTGAGAGTCACGTCTGACTGCGAAGTGAGGGGTGCAGAACCCTTTGGCTTCCCCAGGACCCCGCCTGGGCGGACTCGCTGCGGGAAGCGCACGGAGGGGCATATGCTGAATGCTCCCAGGAGAGAGCCAGGAGGTGAAGCCGTGTGAGCTTCTTGCCCTGAAGACGGTCTGCTCCGAGGGAGAGGAGGCTCCCCAACGTCCTGACTGGCTTTGTGGGGAGCAGTTCCAGAGCATCGCCCGGGGACTCCGTGACAACTCTAGATACCTCTAGATACCTAATACAGTACTTTATAAAGCTTGAGTTGACCTCAAAAGTTAAAGAGGGTTTCCCGTTAATACCCCCCTAAAAAACACCAACCTTTAACCCCTTAACATTTGAGGAGGGCTCATTGATGCAGCATGTTCTTTTTATTTAAACAGCTTTAATGGATTATGTTAAGATGAAACCCTAACACAAGTTGCAATAATTTCAGATTTAGTTTTGAACAGGGTTATTTTTAAAGAAAAATGTATTAAAAATCACTTTTAAATATCTTTTTATCCACCCTGGGGTTGATGATGCTCCCCTCTGTCCACGTGGGCTGAATTCCCCTCCCCACAAGTTCACAGCCCATTATTCAGTATTAAGAATCAAATATCAGAGACTTATTTTCTGCCTGGGGTATTTCACAGAGCAAGTTACGATGTGGCCCTTGCACCAAAAAACTTAGTGTCTCAGCTCACAACACAACAAGGGAGAAAAGGAGAGACAGGTCTCAGAAGAGGAAAAACAAGAGTGACAAGATAATCAGGTGGCCACTCAGTAAGAGCTGTGCAGGTCTTGGAAGTTCCCTGGCTTGTAAAGTATCTTCCCTCCTCCCTCACTTCTGAGAGATGAGGCAGCATTAGTGCATTGTTAGGAGGGCCTGGGAGGTGGCTTAGCAAGGGAGGGGATCCCAAGAATAAGAGGCATCACGGAAGACCACACCTCTGAACTGCCGCTCATTTTAGCCCCAAAGCTCCCTGTGTTCCCAACAAACTGGGATTCCCTCTCTTATTGTTGGAAGTTATTTACATCAAAAATACAGAGTCATGAAAGCAGATGTGACCAACATGGTACTTGCATGACATCTCACCTTGCCATGGCCCAGATGTGGAACATGGTGTGTGACGGGAGGGCACAATCATTCATGGAGAAGACTTTTAAAATGCAGATAATTCCTGCATTAGTGTAAGAACAAAGGGGAGGTGCCTACAAGAGCAACTGCAGAAGCTAGGTTTTAGCTACACCAGCTCAGGGGGCTTCTGAGACTGAAGGGTTTCCTCATCTTGATACAGAAAGTATGTATGTGGCTCCATCTATCCCTTAGTCATCTGGCACCAAATCTGGAACAATGGCCTCAATAAAAAGGCCATCAAGGGGGAAGTAGCAGGATGAAAAGGGGTCAACCTGTTCTTAGTGCAGGAAAACATTTTATATACACAATTAGATCCCACACCATTAGCTTAGCCAAAAGCCCGTGTATCCCAAATCTATGGTCAGGCCTGGGTTGTAGAGAAAACCCCACCATGACTCAAAGACCTCTATCCAAAGGGCGTTTTGAAGAAGTATTGCATTGGACACCGCTCTCCAGGCTGTGTAGAAGGAACCCCTGGGATGACAAGTCAAATAACTAATCTTAGTGCTGCCCCAATTGTTGCATGGCTTCAGGAGACTGCTCAGTCCATTTGTATGTCACATTTCATGTGTGTTCCCAGTCGGATGGGCAAGGATGAACATCCCAATGAATGGGTAGGTGAGAGGGATCTGCAGGTCTGTTTAAACAGGTTTGCCCCAGGTAGCCCTTTCATCAATGAAGGAAACATTAACATGCAGTGGGTTCGTGAAGGTCCAAGCATGCCCCACACACACTTCACTGATCAGAATGCCACTTGCAACGTTTGCACATGAAGAGGTCTGAAAGTCTGTGCTTTCCTAGAACTTTTAAACACAAAACAGGTCAGTAAAGTGCACGCAAGGATAGAACTAACCAGGCCATCTGAAGAACAGAAGTGAGCTTCTGTCAATTATTCACTCTACTGCTATTGTGATTCTCTCTGACTCGCTATCCCTGCCCTGAATCCAAAGAGTGTCAAAGTTTCTGACCTGCTAAAGGCAGATGGAACTGCCACTCCTGCAAAGAATGAGACCCTCCAGCAAGATAGATCATCAGTGAAAGCAATACACCAGCCCCAACCTTTCCTTGAGGGCCACCATTTGGCTTGTGCTCACGCAGGATAAGGCCCAGTTTTCCCTTATGCACTGCGCATGCATTATCTGAGAAGGTTGTAGCATCTTCGGTAGTCCAAGGTCATTCAGGAGATGAGCCAAGAGAATTTGAAAGATGTTCTATATTACAAAGGCTCCCAAATCTCACAGCTTTCCCCCTTGTTCCTTTGCATGGATTTCCCTTGGCGTGCGGACACGGGGCCATATACTGGGGTGGCTGGGGATTCAGCTCTTCCACTGAGCTGTATAGCACTGCTCATTGACAAGGCAACACCTGCCTTTAAGCACCAACAATTATGGTTTGCTTTGCTCTCTCCCTAAGAACGGCAACGAAACCAGCTGTCTCTGCTCCCCTCCTTCCCACTGCAAAAGTTCTCCACAATTTAGAGCCAGACCTTCTCATTAGCACATCACTGCTAATTCCCTCTCAGTCCTCTGAAGCTCTGCAAAGCTCTCAGCTCCTACACCATTAACTCATTACCACACCGATTAACAAGCACACCTTTGGAGAAAACCGCAGGTGAGATGCCAACTGAGCTATTAGAAGCCGTTAGAAAACAGAGCAGCTCACTGATTAGTTCCCCTCTGTCCTGAGCTGAGTATTACTGAGAATGGCAGCTCCCTGCCTTGTGCTGCTCACACGGAGCGTATGCGGAGCTTTGGTTTTTGGTGCAGAAGAAAATTTACTCACTCATCCCCAGGCGTAGATTGAGCCAGCTCCGAGGGGGGGAACCATACTTGGTCAAGACTGAGTTCATAGTCTTCAGTGTGTGGCGGGGCAGCAAGGGACCCTGGCTGCACGTTCCTGCAGGAGAAAGGACCCCCGTTAATATAGTTAAGGGGTACTGCACACAACAGACTCCTCGAGGCACAGCGGATGCCTAGAGAGCTGCTCAGGGATCTGCTCACTGCAGGAAGAGTTCAGTCCACTGCTCTCCTCCCCAACCCACGCTGGAGAGCTTGCTTTCTTAAGCTGCTCCACTGACACGAAAAGCAACATGTGTTTGGCCTCTGCCAGTTCGTTTCTTCCCAGACCTGGAGCCCCTCGGGTGCTGTATATTTTAGTGTCGACTTCTCAGAGCCGCGCACTTGCCTTCTCATTTGGGTTTCCTTATTTCCCTTCTCCATCAGTTGTAATGCCCCCTCCCCCCACCCTTCTCTCCTCCTCTGCAGCTCAGCCGCCACCAGCCTCCAGACCGCACAGCCTCTCACCACTCGCCCGGTGGAGAGGATTTGACATTTCGCAGCTGAACTTCGCCAAACCTGCTCCCCCCGGATATTTTCATCCTCCACTGAAGCAGAGCCCCAGCCCTTTACAAAAACCCAAACCACAGGCCACTGAGCATCACAACAGCAGTAGGATGGGTTGCCACAGCAACCCAGCTGCTCTGAGGCAGAGAAGCCGCATAGTGCCCCTTGTTCCACCCTCCCTCCATTCAGACATGAGGCTCATTCAGCTCTGATGTCACAGACACAGAGCAGACGTCCCTTTCACAACTGCAAGTTTGTTTCCTCTCTGCTCCCCCGCCTGCCCTTGTTTTGCTAGCAAGCCTTGGATATACCTTTAACTTGGCAGGGTCGCTCTGAGGAGGCCCTGTACTTCACAGAAGATTTTTCCCCCCCTTGCTGCACAGATGGCCCCCATATTTATTTTAGCCACTGTTCAGGCTAGTTTGTCATCCAAGTCTTTCCTGTACTGCCAGACCCAGCCATATGGGGAGAGTTAAGACTGGATTAAGTTAAAGCTTTAACTCTTTAACAGGCAGCAGTGCAGCACAAACTGTGCCAGGCCCTTTTGGGATCCATTTTTTCCAATAAAATCAATCCCTATTTCATTCACAGGTACACACCCATTTCTGAAGTGTTACTGGCATATGTGAATCTCCTAAAGAACTAGATAAAAGCATTTCTTGGGTTATTCATAGCTGCTTTGTTATCACAGCCTGAGAACCTGAAACTCCCGACAATACTGCTCCTTTAAGAGCCTAAGTGTAAACTGAGTCAAGAAGTTTGCAAATCGGATACAAGTCCCAAAGATTCCAGATTTTGCTTCTCAGAAAGACAACTTAGTCTCACTGGGGTCACATAGGCCTGGAAGGCACCTCTTGGGTCATCAAGTTCAGTCCCCTGCTATTGCCCACACTCCCCTCCTATAATCGATGTATTGCCTCCATGCTTCCCAAACACCGAACCGGGAGTGAGGAGGAGACTGTGGCTTGTGCACTGGGAAGTTTACTAGTGTTGCAAACAGGTTTAAACCAAACCAGTCCTAAAAACAGCTTAACTGCACAAGTAGACAGGGCCAACCTGTCTTCAGCACCTTTTGAAAAGCTGCAGTCGAAAGCCGTAAGTAATTTTTTTAGTGTAGACAAATTAAGAGCCCATTTCCCAAAGATTGTTCCTTAGACACTATTTCTGGATCCAGTAAACAGCTCTTCAAAGTGAGATGACAAGTTATTAGCCAGCATTTAAGCTTTTAAGTCTACTGTAACCAAATCTTTACTCAACAATCTGAAAGAATTAGCACCTCAAACTGAGGACTATGAAATATTTACTCTACCTCCAAACCAGATCATATTCCACTAATTGCCCAGGGTCCAGCACTTCTCAGAGGAAGCAGAACTTAGCAGGACAATGTTGTTACTGCTAGTAGTACATGTACATCACAAGTTTATCCCTATTCCATTAACATTTTAGCCTCCAACATCACCAGTTGATTTAGAAAGATGTGGGTAGTTAGATGCAGTAAGAATCAAATCTCTCCCCAAAATATGGATACTTTCAGGCTTAAGTAAAAATAAGATCCAAGCACCAAAAACAGAACAAACCAAGATAAATGTTATCGTTAACCAGAGCATTTTCTCAATAGTATCCTAGAAGCAGTAAGTCTATTGACATTGCCTATTGACAACAAAACAGCTCCAGCTTTATCCTGGAGTTTCACTGGATTGGAGACACAAGCTGTCTACACACTTAGCAAGCTTAGATGAAGTCTATTAGTCACTTCTCTCCCCATTAGGGTTTTCTATAGCACCCACCACTAAGTGCCATCTCAATCTGATATAGCTTTAGCTATGACAATTCAAGGCCACATTTGACAAGTGACCTGACTCCCTCTAGTGGCCCTATTTGGAAAGTTATACACAGTACAGTGACTCCTCACTTAACCTTGTAGTTCTGTTCCTGAAAAATGCGACTAAGCGAAACGATGTTAAGCGAATCCAATTTCCCCATACGAATTAATGTAAATGGGGGGAGGGGGGGGGGGTTTTAGGTTCCAGGGAAATTTTTTTCACCAGACAAAAAACTATATATATATTATATATTATATACACACACCCCACACACAGTATGTTTTAAACAAACAATTTAATACTGTTCACGGCTATGATGATTGTGAAGCTTGGTTGAGGTGGTGAAGTTAGAGGGTGGGATATTTCCCAGGAAATACCTTGCTGCTAAATCAGGGGTTCTCAAACTTTTGTCCTGGTGACCCCTTTCACATAGCAAGCCTCTGAGTGTGACCCCCCCATACAAATTAAAAATACTTTATATATTTAACACCATTATAAATGCTGGAGGCAAAGCAGGGTTTGGGGTGGAGGCTGACAGCTCACAACCCCCCATGTAATGACCTCGTCACCCCTGAGGGGTCCCGACCCCCAGTTTGAGAACCTCTGTGCTAAATGATGAACTAGCACTCGGCTGAGCCCTCAAGGGTTAACACGTTGTTAATGTAGCTTCTCACTCTGTAAGACAGCAGGAATGGAGGGGAGGAGAGAGGAGAAAGCATAGCAGACAGAGACAGAGACACACCTTGTGTGTGTGTGTGTGTGAGAGAAATGTACACTGTCCCTTTAAGTAAGATGACCCACTCTTAAATGCATTGTCTTTTTAAGTGGATCAGGAAGTTGAGACAGCAGCTGCTGCCCCAGGCTCTCTCGGTCTCTCTATGGAGAAGAAGGGGTAAGCAGGGTGTAGGAGCAGGGGGGAGGGGGACACCCTGACATTAGCCCCCTCACCCCTGCAAGCAGGAGGCTTGGGGAGCAGCTCCAAGGCAGAGGGCAGGAGCAGCACATGGCAGTGGAGGAGGGACAGCTGCTAGCATGCTGGGAGGCTGTAGCACAGGAAACTTAGGGGAGCTGATAGGGGGGCTGCCGGTCCAACATGGTTCCAAGCCCCCACCACCTAGCTGCAACAGGCTGCTCTTCCTGCAAGCAGTGGACAAAGCAGGCGGCTGCCAAACGACATTAGAAGGGAGCATTGCACAACTTTAAACAAGCATGTTCCCTAATTGATCAGCAACGTAACAAAAAAACGACGTTAACCAGGACGACTTTAAGTGAGAAGTTACTGTATCTTGAAAATCTACAGAAGTGTTTACAAGATGTTACTGTTTTTCATATAGAAAACTGAGGGATAGCTCAGTGGTTTGAGCATTGGCCTGCTAAACCCAGGGTTGTGAGTTCAATCCTTGAGGGGGGCCACTTAGGGATCTGGGGCAAAATCAGTACTTGGTCCTGCTAGTGAAGGCAGGAGGCTGGACTCGATGACCTTTCAGGGTCCCTTCCAGTTCTAGGAGATAGGTATATCTCCATATATTATAAATGAACCAATTTAATAAAAGACATAAAATTAGTATCCATAGAGGGATAGTTAAGTCACTGCAGACTCCATGACTAGAGCTCAGAAAGTTGGGATGCCACTAATTTATAAATAAGCAATTAGGTTGAGATTATCAGTACACTGGAATTAACCAGAGATCTTAAAAAGTATCCCTTTCCTATGGCTCCCAGTACAAGGGAGACATTTACTCAAAGTACATCACCTTCAGGATAACTGGAACAGAGACACCTCAGCTATATCTGGGTCAGTGTGGGATTTGAAAGAGAAACTGAAACTGAAGTTTTTAATAGATGTTTACTTGTAAAACACACAGGTACATAATGGAAGTATAAAAAGTAAGCGGTTAGCAGGTAAGCACTACACAATTTGCACTGGATGATAAATGCTCTTCCTCACAGTTCTGTGGGGCCTTTGTTGGTTCCAAGAATGTGCCAAGTTCTCTGGGAAGCTCCCTGGCCCCTTATTATGAAACAAACCCTGTAATTCATTCTCTCACAAGGCTTTAAACGGAGCTTATGATCTACTGTGTTCTCTTCTCTTGAGGTGCTTCTTCATTTTCAACTTCCCAGCTCCCGAAATGTCATAATTGTATTCAGATGTCACATAGGGGATCTCCCCTTCAGTTCCCTGCTGAAACACAAAGACAAACTGAAAGACACTGCCAGTCTGAACACTACTTTGTTCCATTTCATTTATGCAGACTGACAGAATTTAGCAGTTTACCACTGGGCAGCTCTAAGAATCATGTACTGCAACACACAAGATTTTAAAAAATAAGTTTAATATTGAAAATAGAAATCGCCACTTAATTAGTTTTTGAGAGAGAGAGAGAGAGAGAGCGCGCGCACATTTAACAAGCTCATATACTTAATACAAAACGTTCCCATCTTGGAGCCCTAACCAGCAGCTAATACTCATAAGCCTCCCAGCTCACGCATGCCTTATAATATAGCTGATTTAATACAAGAAATAGATTTTATACCTTCTAATTAAAATACATGTCACCCTGCTGTACAGGTAGAAGCTGTCTGAAGATCTTCATAAGTCCCCCTTACCTGGTTTGTAAAGACACAATCTGGAATGGTGATAGTTCCCAGCAGCAGACTGTTTACAAGTCTTAAGTTTTCTGGAGGTACTGGAGTCAGAATATGGTAAAGCTTCCTCTCCATGTCAACCCCTCGGATAATTCCTTTAAAATATATTTACAGTTCAGTCTTAAATCCTCTGAACTACTGCAGGGTGCACAATCACTGCATAGTTGAAATTCTTTGCACGGGCTGGTCATTTCTTAAAGTAATGTTTGTTTAAGCAGGAATCATGCTCTAGACAGAGGCTGAAATACAATTCTCTTGCTACTCTTGTGATTTGTCTCTCCTACCCTCCATCCCCTTTTGGTCATGAAAAACCCCAATACCCCAGATGTCAACTCCAGGCTAGTTCTTTCCAGGAGCAGCAACAGAATCCTCAGATTTGCAAGTAAAATTGCTGTGTGTTTTCAAAACAGATGTGCAAACACACATTGATGCAATGCTGAAGTTGTATAGCTAAAAGTCATTAGAGGCAATGCAAATATTTAGATTCCAACAGCAACACATCCTGCTATGGTTTGTGATAAAATGGTATTTGTCATTAAATGTATATTAAAATAAAACTTTTTTAAAGAGAGAACAAATATGTGCACAACGCAGTCAAGTTAAAGTTGCAGGGGAACTCTACTTTGAACTTCTGGACTCATTTTCCCTGTGCGACTTTAACATTGCTTCAACTGTTTGGAAACCCCCCCCCCCCCACACACACACACACACACACACTCACTCGTTTGTGGCTATGCTCCTGCAGAGCTCCAGGGAACCCTGAATGCTCCTGATATAGAAAGCAACTGAGAATTGTTGCATCAAAACCAGACTTTTTTCAAATTAAGCAGAGATGAGTGCTCAGTGAGGATTAGGCCCATGGTAAAATTCAGACTTCAGGCGACTTTTGCTGTAGCCCTGTTCAGAGAAAAGTGCTTATTTTTTCCCCCTACAATAAGAATATTTTACCCCAATCCACACAGGTTGAGACAGCTGAATGGATTTGAGCACAACTTCCTGAAGTTGATCTTAAATATCTGAACCCGAAGGAAAATAATGCATCAACTTATGAATAAATGCAAAGAAGAGACTACAATGGAAACTGTTTAGCAACCTTAACTGTAGCTATTGCCACTAGTCACTAAGACAGAGGGCTCACAAGCAAAGGTTATAATGGAAAACAAAACCTGTAGAGAAGAAGCAGATGTTTATTCTTTTACTCTACTGCTATTTTTCAAGTTACCTTTGAAAGAGTGATTAAAACATTAAAACAGATGACTCCTTTATGCTGCAGACTCAACATATGATCAGAAGGGGCAATTTAGTTTAAGCAATGCTAAAGTCTGCCCAGGATTCACTCACCGAAGCCCAAGCAATCACAGACTGGTGTCTGTGTAAGCAAGACTGGCCCATCAGTCGGACATCTGACCTCATCCAATATCCTGCAGAGACCGACCCAGTTGGCATTTACTGAATACAGGATGTGTGTAGGAGCAACATCAGTGTGAATAACCCTGAGCGCAACAGCATTGAAAGGTACCTAGAAAATAAGCCCAGATCATTAGTTCAACTTGAATTTAGTTCTGAATTGCAATAGACACATAATTGTAGTTATTTCTATCATCATTACTATATGCAGTGTTGTTGTAGCCATAACTGTACACAAACTGAAATCTGCTGTGCGCTGTGTCACTAATGTAGGTAGGTACAACACAATACTGTAATCACAAATGGCTGACCAAGAGACATGCAAAATACTTGCTATATACATTTCAGGGAGTGCTGGCATAAACGTTAGCCTGAGAGATATGTTTTACAAGTAGGTTATTACTGTTCCTAACATTCAGACAGGGTCTTTTTGTTGACAGTTCCGTAAAACATTTAGAATATACATTTCTACCCCGATATAACGCTGTCCTCGGGAGCCAAAAAATCTTACTGCATTACAGGTGAAACCGCATTATATCGAACTTGCTTTGATCCGCCGGACTGCGCAGCCCCACCCCCCCAGAGCACTGCTTTACTGCGTTATATCCGAATTCATGTTATATCGGGTCGCTTTATATCGGGGTATAAGTGTAGTAATCTAGATTACTAACAATCAGCCTTCTGAATCCAGTCATCAAAACGGCATCTTCAATTCTTTCACAAATGCTTAAGTTACCTGATAGGGAATCAGACTGTGTAAAGGGCGTACTGATCTTGTTTCCAGAGGCTGAAGCTGGCCAAGGTAACCTAACATTGCCATATCCCGGAGGATACTGCTATGGACCCGTCTGGAAAAATAAGCAAACAAATGATGCAGAGATGAAAAACAGTCACGCTCCAGTTCAAACATAAACACTTACTCAGACATTTCAGAAGTTGCAGTGTGATATTTGTTATATTCAATATTTTAGAAGGTTTATTTTTAAATTTCTGTTGTTCAGACCTATTTAGAGCTATGTTTTATTAGCCTTGTTGTTCTGAGATTCCACAGTTCAGTTGCAGGATGATGTTGTAAGGCTGCTTACTTTAGGCAGCAGTCACTTTTTAGATTCTGGCTCTCTTCTCCAGTCCTGATAGCCAGGAGAGTTTTCCATTAGCCAATTGTGAGAAAAGAGTCACGCTTTATTAAACAGTTCTTTAATGAAGGTTTCTGTGGAGCCAAGTCAAAGACCCATGCACATCTAGGGTGACCAGACAGCAAATGTGAAAAATCGGGACGGGGTGGGGGGTAATAGGAGCCTATATAAGAAAAAGACTAAAAAAAATCAAGACTGTCCCTATAAAATCGAGACATCTGGTCACCCTATGTACATCCCCAATATCAGAGAAGTGGGAAGCATGTGATAGGATGAGAGCCAAGGAGAGGCAGTTCCTGACGCAATCTTTAGATAAATATCGGCTATTCAAGTTTGTCCTTAAACCATGGTAGCTAAAAGGCATATTGAGAGGCTTTAGGGCTTCTTCCTGTCCACAGCTTTAAATACTCCTGAGGGAATTATGGGCTACTGCGTGTGTGCATAATTAATGAGCTGTACATATTTTTATGCAGAAAAAAGCTTCTGCCGAAATGTTGCTGCAGTTCCGCCTTTTGCCCACCCGAAGGTGCTGCAGCACAAGAACAGCAGCAGCTCCCAGCAGAAAATAACTTCTGCAGTTCTGCCTTTTGCCCACCAGAGGCCACTGTGATGATAGAACACAGCAGCAGCTCCTAGCCAGCTAGGGAAGAGAAAGAGCTGCCTTCGTCGCAGCACCTGTCAGGCCAGGGTCAGACAGGGGCTCACAAGGGCTAGTGAGGGAGGACAGACTGGGGCAGGGACTGAATGGAAGTGGAGGCACAGGGCCACAGGGGAGGAAGGAGGTGCAGGGCCATATGGTGATGGGGGAAGGAGTGCAGAGCTACATAGGGACAGAAGGCAGCTGAGTGGGGGATACAGAGATACATTGGGATAGGGGAGGGGGTACAGAGACACAGAGCCATGGGAAAGGGGTGCAGGGCCACATGGGGATTGGGGCAGTGGGTGTCTGAATGGGGGTGGAGGGACACGTGGACAGGGGGTGCAAGGACACATGGGGGTGCAAGGACACATGGGGACAGGGGCAATGTATCTGACTGAATGGGTGAAGCTAGGGGTCAGCCAGGGTCTGCATGGCGGAAGCTTCCTAACAATCCCTCCCCGCCCCGCCAAAAACCTGTTCCATACTTTTCCCACCCATACCCAACACCCTGGCTCCTTCCCAGCAATTTACTTCCCCCTCCCTCAGCTCCTCTGTTACCCCTGACTCCCCCAAGCCTTTGCACTGCTTCTGAGGGGTGCAGGAAATACGGTTCTGCATTGTAGTTTAAATGAATTATTACTCCGATTCCTTACTAGGCGTATTAATACAGTACTCTATTTGCCAAAAAAACATTTCATGAATCTTTTTTGTTGTCTGTATTGTTACAGACATACTTGCTGACAGGTATTTTGAAATAAATGACCAAAAATAATTGAAACCAGTGTGATTATATTGTGTTGTTATTTTGACAAATAACATTTGCAGAATTTTAAAATATTGTGCGCAGAATTTTTAATTTGTTGGCGCTGAATTCTCCCAGGAATATTTACTATATTAAGGTTAGGGACACTGCATCAGTGTTCCCTCTAATTTTCCCACACACACGTGCGGAATGAATTTTGTTACGTGCACCAATATGGAGATGGTGTGTGACATATCACCTCTATATTGGTGCACATAAAATTCATGTGGTGAGGTGGGGCTGAGGAGTTCAGAATGTAGGGGGGGGGGCGCTCAGGGCTGGGGCAGAGGGTTGGGGTGCAGGGGTGTGAGGGCTCCAGCTGAGGGTACAGGC